AGTTCGTAAAGTCTTATAAAAATTAAGAAATTTATGAGATACGTTAATACGACCCAGTAGACTATTCGGATTATATTGCAAACTATGAAAAAAAAATGGTTAATTCAGAGCAATAGATATTTTTCAAATGTCAAAATGGATGGAAATGTCAAAATGTATTGAAATGTATATATACATTATACATGTATATATACATTATATAGCCAATCTCAACAATTAAAATAGGTGCAAAAAATAGGTGAATCAATAAAATATTTAATTTAATTTTACCTGTAACCAATTTTTAAACTTATAACAATATCCGTATTTAGCTTGGAAATAGAACTTATAGATTTTTTAAAACACACTCCAAGGTGAAATATTTTAAAATGTTAAGAAAAGAAATATATTTAAAATGTATTATTTCAATAGAAATATTTTTCAAAGGTAAATCAATTTATGAAATATATCCTTTTTTTTCAAATTAAAATCATGGGCATATAGTATAAATAAAACTACAGATATTAGCCATGGGATCAATAATCGAATACATTAAGCGGCTGAAACACTATGATGTACTCATTTTTGACATACACTAGGTTTCAACAAAAATCAAATGTCAAAATTGAAGACTCCCATACAAATAAAAGGCCTAATAAGTATTAGCGGAAATTCAGAAAGCTACTTGTAATAGACCTGATATACCATTACAATCCATTAAAATCTGTCACTAAATTTGTCAACAAAGGTCTTTAGAATACACTATTATATAGTTTTTTGCATTACTAATAAATTTTATATATAATTTAACTTTTATTTTAATTTCAAATAATTTTACCTGAATCCAGTGTTTTTCTGAAGACGAAATTTTCCGAAACACACTACAGATTGAAATAGTTTATATTAAAAAAGTAAAATATATAACATATACTTACGTTATATAGATGACATATTTTTCAATGGTAAATCGACAATTAAAATATGTAAATGTAAATACATACATAAGACTTATATTTAAATAAAATAAAAATAATAAAATATAAAATATATGAAGTATGGTATATTATAGATTATAGCGTATATTATATAAATATATAGATATTATATATCATAGACATATTATATATTATAAAGATAGATTATAAATGCTATAGTTAGCGTATACTTACTCTGATGAAGACCTTGATACTGATACTAATAATAGCAGTTCTTTTATAATATATAGGAATCCTATGTAAAAATGTTACAAAATACAGTTTATAATGTTAAGAAAATGACTATAAATAGAACTTATTATTATCCAATATTTAGAAATATTTTTCAAAGATAAATTAATGTCTAAAATATATATAAACTTATATGTTTCATACCTAAAACCTGGTTGATATATTTTTTTGCCGAGCTATATATATATATATACATTTCAGCAAAAAACTATACCAACCCGGTCTTATGCCAATGTTATGCAGAAAGTTGTGGGCACGTCAAAATTGAGTTTGTTGGTGGTTTCAATGCATTAAATATGGTCACGATGGTGAGCCTTTGGACATGTTGATCTATGTACGGACCAGTGCAATTCCTGTGGTACCAAAACGTGTCATTTTTTGAGCTATAGTGGGCTTTCTTGAATACAGACCACCACTCCAATCTAACCTAACCTAAGATTTCTAGTATTAATGACGTAAAATACTAAACAGATCAAGCAATTTAACAATTCTGACGTTTTTGTGTGGTGACCCAAAAGATTTTATTTATGCAGACAATTTTCAAACTGTCGACACTTTATAAAACAGTATTCTTTAAGCTGAGACTGAACTATTGCTATCTATATGTACTGTAAAATATTTCAATATTTATATAATGAATTTCTTATCTAAACGAAAGATCTGAACTATGTATACTATGTATAGAAAACACAATTTGTTTAAAATCTTAATCACAAGTGTGTCATATTAACTTTAACTCTTAGAATCCTCAATATACTTAACCCTGTTTACGATAATAGGCCTTGTCTTTTGTAAGTATGTCGCAAAAAAAAAACATAAAATAAGCACTACTTTTGAAATCAACTCTGGAAGAATTGGAAATTCTGTTAGGCTTATATATGCAAAATAAGTAACAAAATTTAATGTTAAAGTTTTGAAAATGAATAATTCTTTGCAATTATAGGTAAGAATATTTTTTACATAATTGTAAATAAAATCTGTATTGTAATGCTTTTTCAATAATCGAGTATAATTTTTTAATTTCACTAAATTTAAAAGAATTGCTTACTATTTGTCAAATATCTGTACTTCCGTACTTCCAAAAATCGTTCACAATAGATAAATTTTTAGTATTGGCAACCATGCCAAAAATGTTGGATTAAATAAGCCAGCAGTGTTGTTGTTTCATATGTTATTTTTAAAATAAGCGGTTGTTCTTTTGTGATATGCTTACAAAAGAAAAGGCGTAGTTTTTTAACTTGCTTAAGAAAAAAAGGCCTGATATTGTTTTTCTTATGTAAATATTTTTTAATTTAATCCTAACATTTACCATTACTCCAAACAATTGCTTCCAAAATAGATTTAATCCCCTCGGTACAGTACGAATAGTTTACAATTCACTATTTGGTATTTGAACTATTTAAGTTATGTCAATATTTTTTATTTTTACTGTTATTTTCTTTATTTAATATTTGACAAATTATTCAAAATTGCATTTCATTGAATAAATAATAATTTATGTCAATTTCAACATACAATTTTTTACCACAAAAATAAGTTCAATATTTGTGATTGTTTTCCTTTACAAAAAAAAAAAAAATGAAAATAAACAAAGCTGCACTTTGAAATTTAAGGCCAATATCCGCTTGTAAAATTTGTTACGCTTTCGCTTTTAGATAAAAAAATTCATCAAAAATTAATATCTTAAAAAAACTTGACAATTAAATTGTCAATTAAAGGTTTTTTCATCTATTGACGGGCACTGGTAAGGCGTGTGCAACCTCAGCGCCTTTGTCTTTCATTGACAATTGTCACCTGTCGTAGAAACATTAGTAATGGTCTGGGCCTACCTAAAACTGACTTTTGTATTGCCGTATAGCCCGGAGTAATTAATGTGGTAAAAATAAAAAAAAATTGGAATTTAATGCCCACTAGTGTAGTTCAAATAAACAGTGTAAATATGTATGTACACAATATATAAAAGCATTTATTAAAAATTATTTAAGTAAAATAATGATCAGTCATTAAAAGTTTTTTGTGCCTTCATATATACTTATGTTGATTAGAGTTAAGTTGTTAAAGTAAAAATAAATAAATACATTTACTGAGCTAACAATTTATTTAAATTAATATTTAAACTGAAATTTAATGTGTTATTTTATGTATCGAGAAAAAATTAAAATTAAAATTAAATTTGAACGTAAACGTAGAGGAGCAATGCCTATTGTGCGGCTACGATACAATATTTGGGGAAGACTGTATGCCGCTTTTGGAATCTGCTACTTCACTTGTTTTTACTTAATGCAGTGGTGCATTTGTAACATAGTAATAAAATTTTTGGCTGCTGAGCTTCAAATTATAGATTGAAGTATACTCTTCTATATGCTATATTCATTCAAATATCATTATTTGGTGTATAACCAGTATACGGTATTAGTCCGTACGGTATTAGTACGGCATTAGTCCTAATCCCAATTATAAGCTGATAGTACCACTTAGGAGCCCTCAGATTTCAAGCACCTTTATCTTTTTCTTTTAATACAAGCCATATTGTGCGGTTAACCAGCAAGTTTACTTTGCTACTAATTTTCACTTAATCTGCCATACATGGTTTTTCGCACATGCTACTTTGGTCATACCAACTAGATGTCTCGTCTAACTTATTTTTTTTTGTCACTATATCTTCTTTACTGGAATTGACATTCCTTATATATAAGTAAAACAATTGTTTGCAGAACTTTTCTAGTCAGAGCTGCTAAAAGATTAGACAATTCTTTAATAAACGGTCAAATCTCGGATCTATACGTGAGTGCTGATTGTATACAGTAGTATCATGATAAGATTCATGATAGACCAACCGCAACCATTCACTCATTTCTTTATTTATATTGTTATTAACTATTATAATAATGAAATATAGTTGAAGGACTACATTATTTAAATAAAATCCTCCCGTCCTCAAGTAATAATACACATATTATAATATATACGTACAACTCCTAGTGCTTTGCAAATAAGCTGAGTTATAATGTATTAAATTATAGTTATAATAGCTAGAAGAGCAGTACTTTTTATTATATATAAAGTTAACAATTACTAAGTATTTAGTGGTATTATTGAAGTGCAGAAGGCGCTGGAACCAGAATGTAGCATTTATGCTTAATCCGGTATATATAAACTTTTTATATATAATAACAGAATAATATCACCTAAGAAGTGAAGTCTTTCTCTACCAAGATCTACACACGAACAAAGAATGTACACTGAGCTTTCGATTTCTATTTCACAAAAAAATCAGACATTACTATCGGAGATCCACAACTTATTTAAGTGATATTAAAGATTGTAGTGAGCTGTAAAGTTGTCAGATATAGGGTTTACCGAAAGTATTTTACGTGATATTTACTTACTTTAATATAAGCGCTGAGTTTAAAAATTGTTTTGCTTGAGGTTAGTGTCTACTATTAAATCAGTGGGCTGTAAGTTTTTTTCTCCTTAAAGTAGTATTCTCCTTTCTTTCTCATTTTATAGTTTCTATATTCCTTTCTCTATTCTACTTATACTATTTATAGCCTTAAATAGTGTTCTTCGAATTTAAGTAGTAAGTCTGATATATATCAATAAGGAAAAGTAGAAATAAATAAAGAAATCGTTCAATTATATATGACTATTGGTATGGACTAGAATATTTGTTTTTTATAAATTAATATTTTTTCGCAACAATGCAAAAAATAAATTAGATAAATTTTTTATATTTTTATTTTTTGTTTTTTATATACCATATAATAATATTTTATTTTATTTTTTTGTTTTTAGATTTTTATTCATCAAATTCACAAAACCGATTTGTGCCATCTACCTTTCCTGGTGCACGTACATATTTGTCAGGTGCTCGTAGTCCTGTGAGCAGCAGTGGTAATGGCATATATCAACAACCTGGTTCTTATCAGGAGCAAGTTCTCTTTCTGACTGATGATGACAAACAACAAGTTCCACAACAACCGATTTCACAATCTTTGACTTCAGCTGCATACTCACCATTTGGATCACAATTTTCGGTAAGAGGCATTATGCTCTCATTCTCTCTTAACTGAAATTTATGTGCTCTCTGGTTTAAAATATATAAGTAAAAGATTATAAGTTATTGTAGATTGAATTGCGAACAAAAGGTCAAATTTTAAAATTTTAGTAGACATTTATATTGCATGCCGTGTTACATTTAAGTATATATAAGTTGTTTGTGATTCAAGTAATGTGGAAATGTTCCTTGAATGGAATCATCAAGATCTTACCACTCTCACAATACATCGTTGTGATCTATTTATGCAAAATATTAGCAGTTTCAGTTATAAGGAGAGACCAGACATTGTCACTTGACAGGTCTGAATGGATGAACTCTGTTTCTTTTCTATTCTCTTATCAAGAATGTTGACACTAACCAGGAAAATAATAATACTCATAGACACATTTAACGGAATAAACAGTCATTATTATTAACATGGTTCATCAATTTAAAAGTTACAGTACATATTTCACATTGTTTAAAGTAAAATTTTCTGTGTTCGATAGTTGCTTTAGTACCTATAATCCATACATACTCACTGTTTCGATGCAATAATTCTTTATATATTTGTACATATGTCATTCTATTCGTACAAATGTCATTAAAATTTGACAATTTATCAGTGAAGGATCTAATTTACCGATATTTACCGAGATACCTATGTTTCATCATTTCTTTTTACTTTTGAGTGTACCTTATATGTACTTTATTGCTTGTATATTAAAGGTTTATTATGGAGTTAGGGTTAAAAATAATATTTATTTTCTCAGCCCCTTCACTTAGAAAGCTCTAGAAAAGCCATCATTACGCAGTTTCTTTTTCTAAAGCCATTGATAAAATGTAGAGCCCACAACTACGCATAACTTACCAATAATTTTATATGGCATCGCCGTATGGTGGACGGCCCGTGGCAAATTTTCTTAATGTATGGTACTCAACTGGGTTCAGCGCAAGGCTGTAGATCATGACAGATTAGAATATCATGCTTGAAGATTGAATCTCTCTTTCAGTTATTCATGTCGCAGTTGTGGAAAGGACAATAAAAGTGCTCATATCTGTTTTGTTCTTACGACGCTCCTTACTATTTTTTGGGTTCACCTTTTTTTGAGGATCTTGGCCGATCTTGGCAAGACCACCCATTATATAGCATTTCAAGCTTTACTAAGGACTTAAGGATGTTTTTAAACCTCTGAGTTTTTACTTACTCGGTAACACAATGGGCCAATTGACTTAATTAGATGCCTTTGGATCGTCGGTTCAACTTAACCTGAACTAACCTAGCTTAATCTAAAGCTAGCCTAAAGCTATGGTTTAAATAGCTTAATACTTTTCACCTGAATTGAATATGTTTTGGAAATTTGAATTATTAAGCAAATCGACGCATTAAAGTAAAAGTGCTTCATCACTTATCTTCCATGCTTTCCTATTTCAACGCTGATTTGTTATAAAATGAAAGGAAATCTTCGACTTTGTATATGTTTATGAACTAATTTAATCAAGTTAAGTATTTTCATCACTTTTGACAACTTAATATGATATATGGATATAAGTTAAATTATAGTTAAAAGTTTTTTTTGGTTTTTGCTGGAATGGGTTTTCCTTGGTGCATTGCGATACGAAAACGATACATTTAACATATCGTGTTGCACTGCTGAGTTGGGTAATCATTAATAATTATGCAGTATTTACAAAGATACTTCATTGCTTGCACATTTGTAAATACTTCTTTCTGTTAGATTCGCTTCACTAATTATCAGATTGCGGGACTTCGAGACTACCAGACTACGAGACTATCAGACTGTCAGACTGGCAGTCAGTCTGCAATTGGTCAAGTGAAAGTTTCCTCCAAAATGGTAGCTCATTGAAAACTCAAGTCAAGCCTAACTGAATAAAAATTAATTGAATTCAAACTGTTCGGAGTTGGATTTTTATTGTTAGTTTTGAAATTCTTTAGCAAAATTAATTTTTAATTACATTTTGTATCTGAGTTCGCCTATGCGTTCACCGACGAGCGCGTTAAGAGGTACGTGAGCTGCACGTTCATTTCTGGTGTAGTGCGTGTGGTGTTTCTGTTTTGGGTTATGCGGTAGTAAATATGTTACAAATTGCAAAAATATTTACAATATTTGCAATGTTATAATAAAAAATATTTTCTACATTTAATATCATAATATAAGATATAAATCATTTAAAACAGAAAGTATTTTGAACACTAAGTGGCGAACGTGCGACTTAAACAATGGGCGGGAAATCGATGGCCTTTTTAATCAAACCATATAGGAATTTGCGATCTATTGTATGCGGTGTTGAATTAGAATACTGCCCGTTTAGATAGATAATTACAAAATGAAATAATATTATTTTTAAAATCTAATATAAAATGGATAATTCCATTCTTTGAGTTTTAATAAATCTATTTTTTTACTTAAATGAAAATGGGTTTCTTGTTAGGTTTCTTTAAAAAAATATAGGTGTAGTAAAAAGAAACTCATTATTTTTGCGTTAAAATTGAAGATTTTTTACCATAGTTAGAATGATTCAATTTAGGTCAAATATGCGCCATTTTGCAGGTAATTTCATCATGTCTCTATCATAGAAGTCAACGTCTCTATTGACAAAAACATGAGACAGTCGATTTTCACAAATTTCTCTTGAAGCGAATTTTAAACCATAAAATTTGTCCATCCTTCGCCATAAACGGGAAAGAGATCACTTGTTGCTAGGTCTGAACTATAAGGTAGATGTATAAGACCTTCCCAACCTAACTCTCGAAGCTTTTAGCTAGTCATTATCAACGTGTGTGGCCTGGTGTTGTTCTTATAGAATACAATTCGTTCTTATTACCCAAAGCTAACCGTTTCTGGATCTCCGATTCCTTCCTGCAGGCGGTCTAATTGTTGGCAGTACAGTTTCGAGTTAAGAATTTTGCCGTAGCGGAGCAGCTCATAGTAGATAATTCCCTGCCAATCCCACCAAACAGATAACACAATCTTCCTCGTTGCAGCCGCTCGTATTTTACTTCCTTGTATTCCTCGGTGCTCTGAAATCTTAATCAATGTTATTCTGCACTGGTTTCTTAATGACCTCAATTAAGTTTTGCACTGCTTTACTTACTTCGATTTTATACTTTGTTTGAATTATAGCTTTACTTTACTGTATTTCATTTTTTAAGATTTTTTCTGAAATCAGTCGACCAGAAGGCAGGTTACGATTTGACAGACAAACCGAAATGGATCTCTTTATATACTTCTGAGCTTAAACGATTTTTACACATTTTTCGGATTCTATCTTGAAAGCATCTATGAAGATGTGGTAGTTCCAATTACCATGGAGGGAAGTGTAGGATAGGGTAGAGCTATGAATGGAGTTATAACTCTTCAGTTTGAATGTCTAGCATCAGCTCTCTTACAATCTAAGCACTGACATTGAGGCACTGTTTTTGATCAGAATTTTTATCGGCATCAAGTGAAGAATGATATTGAGATCCGTCAAGGTAAATATTCTTATAACTTTTTTACATAAATATATTAAATTGATTTTAATCTAAATTCTTAATATAAACTATTGTTTTCAATAGAGCGGTTTTTATCGAACAGTAATGAAATTGCAACAACAATAATTTTGTTTATTTTTAATTAATTGAATTTTATGAAATGAATATATTAACCAATTTTTATTCATATAAATTTAATGTTCAAAAATAAACTTTAAAATTAATTGCTTTAAAGATTTTGTTTTAGTTTTTACTTGCAATGTATCTACTAACTATAAAAAAATTTATTATTAAATCAATTAAATGAAAAAGAGTTGTTTTTCATTATATTTTTAATTTAATTAATTCTTAATTAAGTTATGTTATTGTGCAATATTAATCAAATTAAAAGCAAATTATTGCGCTGAAAAGACTTACATATAATAAACTTTTAAAAGTAACAATATAAATTGCAAAAAAAAAATAAAAAATATATTTTATTAATATAGTTTTATGCATTTTAATTATACTCGTATAAATATACATCTTTTAAATAAAACCTCATTTTTTGAGGTACAAGAAGAGCTCACGATAGTCAATAAATCAAAATTATTCGGAATTTTATTCAATATTTGTCTGTGATACATTTTCAAATAATACAAAGCAAATAATGCATAATAAGTAATATAATTAAATTAATATAATACCAAACTCAAAGAAGGCTTATCGCTTTCAATGTCAAGTGACTGAAATTAAAAATAAATTCAACTCAATAATACAATTAATTTACATTTCAAATAAAATCAATACAATAGTAACGAGGTTAAGAGAAGATTTGAATAAGATCAATAGGTCTGATTATTTTTATAAACAATTTATTAATAAATTTGTCATATACAAAACAATAACCAGAATTTCATGGTTGATTTCAGATTTGATAGTGTGTAGATATATGCGGACATAGGGAGAGTCTATAAATATGTTATCAAGTTTAAGTTGGTTTCAGTACCAACTAAGTTTTCTCCTTTATCCAAGTCGCGCATAAGCTCTATTTTATTATAAAACACCTATACATGGGTTTCGTAGATATCCACAATGCGATAAGACAATAATTGTCTTAACGTTGCCTAGTTTGGGTACTGAAACTGTTTAGTTATTCTGTTTTCCCATCTACCTTGCAGTATTTACATGTCTGGTTGACATATTAATTTGTATGCCTCTAGCAATTCTTAGTTTTCCATTTATGGTTTACTACTCTTGGAAAACCTTTCTGGATATCTTTATAAGCATATCCTGAATCGTGTATAATGATACTTTTAGTGAATGAGTAATTATTCTTCTGGGAGTATATTTATAACATTTGTCTGTTTAGGTCTTTCGCAATTTCAATATACCATATTTCTATTATATATTATATTAATGCCAAGAAAAACCAAATCAATGTATTAAGATTTGTATTAAGATTGAACAGAACCGAGATAACAACTCTGTTCGCAGTAGCGTAATCAGGATTGTGCCAAGAGGACAAGAGGAATATACTATATTTTTACTATACATACTATATATATACAGTATATATACTGTATACAAACCATTTTATTTGGCAGTCTTTTTGCAGTGTATTATGTGTAGATTATATTTTGAAAGGAGGGAGTCTATCTCTCTAATATATCTACCTTGAACTATAATTCATATTATATTAAATTTCTATTTTTTAATTTATAAGTAGAATTAATAAAAGTATATATATTTATATGGACAGCTTAAAAATAGAACAAAACTACTGGGCATTTGTTAGATCAATTAATTTGGCTTTGATATTACCATAGTGTTATTCAAGTTAAAGTTAAAATCATTTAAGACGTAACTAAAATAGTAAAGTGTAAAAAGTCATTTTGTACTGATGTCTATATTTGTAAGCATAGTCTTAATCTGGTTATGTTCATTATTATAGATCGTTATTTCACGCCAATAAATTGGTTGTCCGAATCAGGAAATTCTACAGAAGTTGCTATTATATGGAGCACACGCTCGAACATTTATTAAGTCACATTTATTGATTGTCCGAATGGGGAACTTCTACAAAAGTTGACTGGATATACATATGAAGTAAACGCTTGAATATTTATTATATTACTTTTGACATTATTTGATAGGTATGCACGCGACTTGATTAGATGCTCTCAGCATAGTATTATATAGAAGTTGGGTCACGAAAAGGGCAAGGAGGAAACGTTCGACATTTATTTAGTACTATTCGTCATAAAAGGTCATTACCTAGCATACTACTAAGGTTAAACTAGTTTGAGTGGCACCAACAGGGAATTTTATAGAAGTTAACATGCAGCAACGATGGATCATTTATTATGCCACTGTCTCACTCCCTCGATGTAAATGGTTAATACCTTAGGATATTTTTTCTTTGTATAATTGGTAAAGCTAAAAGCTGTTGCTAGTGAAAATGGTTCACTAGAAATATATAAAAGTGAGAAGGTAAGAGAGATGTTAATAGTACCACAACACAGGCTCTGTTAGGGATTGTAATATTAACATAAATATTAATGGAGTTATAAGATATTATTTTATTATATGTAGTACAGAAATGAATAAGAAGAAGATCAACATGCTTCAGTACGTGTCTACTTTATTCCAATGGGATTATTTTTTTGTATGTAGTACCAATATTAATAAGAAGGAAAAGAAGAAGAAAAAGATTGAAGATGCTTCAATAAGTGTCTACTTTATTCCAATGGGATTTAAGTAGATAATATTATTGAAAGAAAAAGTTAAGAAATCGTTAGTGTTGAAATAAATTTGTTTTGCTTGTAATATAACTTAAAGGGATTACATATGTACACATCATAACAAAGAGTTGCCACATTGTTGTAAATCACAAGTTACAACTAAAATTTTATTCGTTGTTTTGTGATTTTGTAGTTTCAAGTATCCTTCCTTTTTTTAACAATGTACAGTAAATTCTCATAAAAACTTGTGTGATATAAGTAAAGCTATAAATAAAACTATAAATCTGTAAAAATCTTGAGTCTGTATTTTAATACAATGGATTAATAGACTCCATTCATGTCTACGGTAATATATTACAACTAAGTTTCATAACCAGATATTCAGGCAGTTATTCGATTTTGTTTATATATCTGAGCAATTTTGCATCTATTAATCTTAAATAGAAAATATAAAATTTTACACTTAAATTGTTGTTAACTTGTCATGACAAGTCATCGTATTTATGTAAAACACTTAAAATTTAATGACGTTTTAAATTAAAATTGATAACTCTTACTTGCTCTGAGTAACAATAATAGGACGTCACTATTCACTGTCAGTATTCACATGAACAGTGAATAGGAAACTTCATAGTTTGTTAACTTCAAAGTATACGTAAGATTAGTTTTATTCGACGAGACGACAAGTAGCTACCGTACGTCACACTTGGGTTGCCAGCGTTTAAACTGCGATACTCGTCGATTGATTGACATTTAAGCGGACAGGGAGAGAAGGTTGCAATGAAACTTCTCTTATGCATCGCGTCAAAAGCTTATTGAATGGAACTCTTCAACTTAAAAACTTTTAACTTGATCGGTCATTTTTCAAGAAAGACTATTGATTTTGCCTAAATAAACAACTTAAATTTATAAATTTAAAAAATAGATGACAGAAGGTGTCAATATACATTTTATACTGTCAAATTTTATACACGTATGATTCAGATTGAAGGTTATCAAAATATAAAAAGTTTATTAAAGTAGTGAACTAAAGTTAAGAAAGTGTTAATATTTATTTTATAAACTGTTTATTTCAATTTTATGCCAAAGTCGGTGCAAATCAATTGATGGGGTCATTAAATTCTAGTAGGAATTTAAAACATTTACTGATATTTTAAATAGCTACTAGATGATCTCTAGCTCAAAAAGTACCTGGATTTTGTATATAACACACACAAATTTAAATTTTATTCCAAATTTATTTTATCTCCTTCAAAATATGCTCCTTCTGAAGCGATACACATATGCCAACGCTTAACCCAATCTTCCATACACTTCTCGTAGGCCCGTGCAGGTATGGCTTTTAGTTTCTTCGGCGAATTATCTTTTACTGATTCAATCGACTCAAAACACTTACCATGAAGGGGCAATTTGAGTTTCGGGAACAGGAAAAAATCGCACGGATCCAGATCCGGCGAATATAGTGCCTGAACAATGACAGTGGTGCCGTGTTTGGTCAAAAAGTTGCGTACAACAAGAATTTTCCATAGTAAAAATCGTTGAATGCACTTGAGATAGTCTCACATTAACAGTTGCTGTAAACAAACTAATTGATAGATGGCGCTCAAATTTGTATCATATGTCAAGAAAGGGTGTACCAACATAACAAAAAAAATTTTGAAAAAGGTCTATTACTTAAAGAGTAGTTAACAAACAACAATATCCGGATACTTTTTAAGCAGAAGGTATACCTAAATTAACTTTGCAATATTCCTAATGGACTCCAGATCAAAGAATTTTAATCTTCTTTTCTCTTTTTTTAAATTTGTCAATTATTATTTGACAAATATATTCCGGTATATTCCAATTGACATACATATACTATCAAAAGTTTGAGATTCCAATCCACAATTTGCATAATGAGCCCTCGAAATGCTTTTGTTATTTAAACATTCAATTCCATTACACAGTATTTTTTTTTTATTCCTATAATATATTACATTTTCAGTGTTATTATTTATTTAACCGAAATTAGCAAATTTTTAATGTTTATTTAATTTTATATTTTTTTTTTGTGTAATTGCAGTCAAATCGAAATTCTGATTATTATGACATATCACCACGTCCCTTTGGTGCGGTTGCAGGCCCCAATGCGGCAGTGGGCCCATCACCGAACAGCTTCAGTACACGTACGAAATCGATACGACCCAGCGGCGGTTTTGTGCCGCAATCGCAGCAACAAATTCGCACCAATGTTCCACATGGCCAATCACAGTTTCTAGCGCAATTCAATGAGCCAGGGGCAGCGGTAAGTAATCACCCAACTATCGAGTGTGTATCAAGTTTATAATCACCAACATAATTTGAATATTGCAATAATCGTTTTTATTTTTTATTATTTTTTTCCGCCGTTAATTGTTGTAATTATAATTTTTTAAAGTGTATTTTGTGGCTACCACTTATTCTTCTTTTTCAAAACTACAAAAAAAAAAAAAAAACTGACAGTTGACACTTTAATGTGTGATTTCTTGCGAAATTTCATAAAAATTTAATTATGGATTGCGTATGAATAGAAGTACTTTAAAGATACTTTGCATTTATAGCTTTGTATGTTAGTTGATAGATATCTTTCAAAAACCAAACAGATAAACTGCGGAATAATAATTAATAATGTGGCAACATCCTGAATTAAATAAAAATGAATAATAACGGTTAAATGAATGGTTAGAAGATAAAAGCAGAACATAAATAATGATCTGTTGACTTAATGTGACACACTTTCAAGATATTTCAAAAAAATATTCATTGAATATATAGTATATATATGAATATAATTTTTCATTCATAGAACGTATATCAAATCTAAAGAAACAATGGAGAAGTCATAATTTGGGATCAAAAAAGTCTGGCAGCTTAAAACTGCAAAGACATCACAAAGATTTATTGACTTAATGTCACATACAGTCAAGATATTTCAATAATATATTAATTGAGTAACATGTATAATTATTCATTCATAGAATATATAGAAGTTGTGGGGGAAATAATGGAAAAACCATATTATGAGTTAAAAAAAGTCTTGATAACTACGATCCTTTCTATATAGTCAAGCTGCAGCTCAAAACTGCAACGACATTCACAAAGATTTATTGACTTAATGTCGCATATACTTAAAGATAAAGACATATAAGACATATACTAGAGAACTTGGAACTTCTAAACCCTCCGTATTTATCAGAGTATTTTTTAAGTATTTTATTGACTAAGAGAACACCTTTAATACAATTATTTATTTAAATTTTAGTTCAAAACCTCAAAGCCATTCACAAAGACTTAATGTCACATACATTTAAAATGTTTTAGAAAAGAACTTGAAACTTTCGATTTATTAGAGTTTTCCTTTCTATTTATTCCAGTTTTACTTCATAACTGCAAAGACATCCACAATGAGTATTTTTTTAAGTATTTTACTGACTAAGAGAAGATCTTTGATACAATTATTTATTCAAGTTTTATTTTAAAACGGTAAAGATATAGAATTTTCTCGGCAATAAGAATACTTTTACTGGTTAATACTGATTAATACATTATGTTCGATAATATCTGTTGGAATAATATAATTATAATATATGTTGGAATAAATAATTTCGAAATTAGTTGCTATTATTATTATTATTATTATTATTATTATTACATGATTATTATAAAACATTACTTTAGGTCTGTACTGTTAGATGTCAAGATCATTTAGAGTTTGAAAATACTAGATATTAAAAAATAGAAATCCTGTCGATAATTGATTATTTAAAGGGTACTGAATATATCACTGACAGGCCTTGTTAGCAGCAATCAATATATTATCATACAAAACATTTTATTTAAGGTCTGCAAAAGTCCAATTTAGTTACCTATATCATAAAAATCTAGATTTTGAAAATCTAGATCAATTTCTTAAATACATATATTTAAAATCTCAAGTTCTTCGAGATTGGATCATTCGAAGGATATTAAAAATACAGTGAATGAGTCACGTTACGAACAATTAATAAACTATGATCGAAAGCTGTTACCAGCCGTAAGAGATGAAAATATTTCTATATAAGATTATAATATGCCTTGAGAAATCTATAATATGACTTACTAACAAACAATTAATTATCCGAGGAAAGATCTAAAGAACAAAAGGAATTATTCAGCTTTCTTTAAAGGACAGAAACATAGAATGTCAGTAACTGACAGATGTAGCTGGAAATATAGCTATAATTTATTTCTAATATAATATATATAATATAATATAATAATCTGATATAATTTCTAAATATATTTAGGAAGTATAGTCAATAAGTAATGAGAATTTTAAAATTGGTTGTTATTTATGCAGTTAATGTTTTTTGTGTATTAGCTGGACTGTAACATATATGTTTACTATCTATTAGTAGGTTTGGTACCTTTTTTTGTAGTAGTAATTTAGATCTGGTCATTAGACGAATAAAAATCTTTTTGCCTACCTTTTCTTACCGACCTGACAGACCTGACATATATTCCTACAAAATCAGGGACTTAGCCAAGCATATAGACTTGTCAGATTACTTCACTTTCACTTAAATTGGGGAAGGTGTGCCTTTTAGTGTTGGCTTTATGGAGGTACTTCTGTTCTATGTATGAACAACGCTAACCCGCTGTTTCTTCAACTCTTCTATATATTTTTTTCTATTTTTGAATCAATGCCCAGCAGTCGGGAGACTGTCAGCGTTTGCTTTTAGGTTTCATTCTCTTCTCAAACAAATTTAGTTTAAATAAATACTTTTTTTATTTAGAAATTAAGTATTCTCGCGATTTTTTGATCACATCTTGCATATATATAATATGTAATTCTTTTATATCTATTGTACAGTAGTTTTAATATTCAAATTGTAATATAAAAATAAATAATTAATAATATATATGAAATTAATAATAATAAATAATAATATTAAAATAATTTATAATTAATAAAAATATGAAAATATGAAACGACAAATATATATCTGTTGCTTGATCATCAATATCCGTCGAATTAAGGAGTCAGTTAAATCTATTTTGTAGGGGTTTTTATATATATTCTCGTTATAAAATTATAAATTATTGCTAAAAATATTTTATATAAATATTTTTTTTTTGATAAATCTCTATCTGATATGGAGATCACCTGCTGATTTTGAAATTTTAAAACCAATCAAAAGCGAATTAAAAATATTTACCGTGTAACTACGCATACCAACCTACGAGTGCATAACCGGAGACTGCCTGAGGCAGCAAGGCAGCAAAAGGTCTTATCATGATAAAAGCCTTATTAAGATCAAAGACCCTGCTTAACTCTATTTTAAATTAGTTTTATTTGCTCAATGTGCACAAAAACCAACAAAAAAAATAAAATAAACAAAAGCGAAGGCAATAAACAAAAACCGAAACGAGATATGCTCAAACATGAATTTATTAAGAAAATAGAGAATAGATAAAAAATATTGCATAAGAAATCGATTCAAAACAAAGTCAAACCATTAAAGCCGAACTAAATCAAGACACGCCAAAGCCAAACAAAACACTGAACACACACAACCGAAATCGAGCGCCGACATGGAAAATTGGAGCAACGAAAACCAGTAAAAGGCGCTTGAAGTGGTTTGATTGGATTTACAGTAGTGAAGTGTGCTTGGTTGCTGGTTTGTTGGTTTGTTGGTTTTGCAATTGTTGTAATTACGCTGCATTAAAACACAATCCACACATATAGCGCACAGTTCACAGAAACTCCCATGGGTCTCCATCTTTTGTTTGCAGCTGAGCGTTGCCCGGTCAGGAAATACCTGCGTCAAAGCTGAGTTTATCGCATCTTATTGACTTCAAAACTTATTAATTTTTTTCCTATCAAATTCGAAAGTAAATATGTAATTATTTTTACAATTTGTTGCACTTTTTTTTTTCAACAATGCATTTTTAGCTTTAAGATATCTTCATATCTTTCAAAATTATTTCAACTTTTATTCATGTTTTTTTTTCATTTACACAGACCTCTGGCAACGAGAAATTGGCAACATCCAATCGTTTAAATGGTTTTTCAGCATCGAGACCATTTGGCAGTGGTAGTTTTACGCCTAGCAATAGTCGTGTACGACCTGCAGCATCTGCTTACAATGCTGATTCCTCTCCAGCAGCTCAATCGCAAGTGCCTTTCCGCAATACGCGTACGCGTTTTCAGCCAAGCAGTGCCACAGCTACCACAAGCACTACAACATCTACTGAAGCTACATCACCTACGAGCAATAAACGTTTCAACAGATTTGGCGCTTCTCGAACAGGTGGCTTCAGACCCTCTGGATATAATAAAAACGCTCAAGCTAATAATGATACAGAACAACCGACAGTTGTTGAGCAAAAACCAAATTTCAGCAGGGCAGCAAATAAGTCCAATGGTTTTTCACCAAGACGTCCAGTATTCATAAGCCGTGAAATTAATGAACCCGTACATTTGTCAAAGTTACAGCGTCCATTTGCTTTAAACAGTGGTCGCGTTAAAATACCCACTAAAGAAAGATTGTTTAAACAACCCGTAATTGCTACAACAGCAGCTGTTAAGACCAGCTCAGTGTCGGATAGTGGAAGTGATGAATATGACGAAGAATTGCAAAATGAAAACCAAGTCGGTAGTGAGCAAGTTAAAGATATTAGCAAAGAAAAATTGCAATTGCGTGAAGCTGAGGAAGAAGCAACGAATACAGTTGCCGATAGCACAAAATCGCCCGCAACGGAAGAGGAAACTAATACCATGATTATAACTTCCAATTTCTTTTTACCTGGTCCCACCAAATCGAATGAAGATAACAGTCAAAATGCGGAATATATTGAAAATTATTCCGAAGAAGATGGTAAGGAACATAAAGATGAGACTACAAGTAGTGAAGAAGCAGATAAAGATATTGATGCTACCACGGAACATAGTGCTGAATATGAGTACGAATATGTTGAAGATGAAGAAACCACTGAAGAGTCGGTCACGAAACATACAACAACAACAACTACCACTGAGTCCAGCCTCAATATTGACAATGCAACTATAAGTACTCCAAGTTTAGATACACAAACAGTGACCACGGAATTAACATTGACAAGTATAACCGCAGAGCAGGATATAACAACTGAATTACCCATTACCACGGTTTCGCCGCTTACAACTAAACATACTGATACCAGCATACCGAGTGATACCAAAGAAGAAACAACACATGAAAACGTGGAAGAACCACATGATGAAGAATATGAAGAAGAAGAAGAATATGAGGAAGAAGGAGATGGAAATGGAGATGAAGAAGAAGAAAAAAATGAACATGAAAAAGAGATTGATAACAAACATGAGACTAAAGTTAATGATACAAATGCTTTGAACGGAACTTCGGTTCTGACTGCGACTGTACAAAGTAAGCCTGATAACGAAATTCTAGATCAAATTATATCTGTGGTAACAACAAAAAGCATTGTTAATGGTTCAACCTCATTTCCCTCGCCAGTTACACCCAGCTCAACCACATTATCAATGGAAGAAGAAGCTATTTTCACAGAAAATAAAGTACAACCGGCTGCAGAGGACTCAACTGAAGTTGAAGACAATGATCCAAGTAGCGATCAACACACCGAAATGCCTGAAACTGTTAATAATGCTACGGAAGGTTATGTTGTGATTGCATCTATACAAACCAGTCGTAGCATAAATGGTGCACGTTTTCTACCATTCCCAGCTATAGAGCAAGAAGAAACTAAACAAACTTTGTCCGAATTAGAACGTAAAATTCATGGCCAAAAATCGAAACCCTCAACAAAAAATAAAAAGGATTTCAATTCTGAACAAGCCGGCGATAGTAATGAAGTAGTACAAACTACTCTATTGCCAGAACAAACATCTGAAAAATCTACTACAAGCGCTTCATCCACAGAAAGTATAATAGACAAATTAGATAGAGTGCAATCTGAGTTATCCAGTGGTTTGCTTTCTGGAAAATATCCAATTATAAGTGGCATGGAAGTTTCTACGCAAGCGACAAGTACAACATCTGGAAATAAATTTGTGCCTCATATACGCAAATTTCAACCAAAGACTACTGCTACACCCAAAGTTAAGATACACCACTTCGATGAGACAGAAATGGATGAATTGGCTGGTTTATTACCAAATGGTTTTAAACCTAGAAACTCATATAAAAATAGAAAGATCACCACTACAACTACCACTACAACATCAACTCCTGAAGTAGATTTTAAAAAGCCCGCACGTAATTCCACTATTAGTCGATCATTCAAGAATGGTGCTGTGGCTGTACAAGATGTTGCTTTGGCGGGATTGTTACCTAAAGGTTATAAACCTTTAAATACAACGACTACTCCTACGGCAAATGCAGATGTAAGTGATATATTCAGTAAAATCAAGTTTGATGACAACTTGGAACAATTGTTACCAAAGGATTACAAAACAGAAACGACTGCAAAACCTGCTGTTACGGTAGTTGATGACATATCCAAATTTTTACCTAAAGGTTATAAGCTACGCACAACTTCTACCACACCAAGCACAAAAATCAAGAAGCCAGTTGAGGTTATAAATGATGACATAAGTAAATTCCTTCCACCGGGCTATAAGCCACCTGCAGAAGATAATGAGAATCAAAAAGATAAATCCAACAGTGGCATTATAGCATTAAAAGGCGACGATATTAGCAAATTCTTGCCAAAAGACTATAAACCAAGTGGAGAAACAAGCAAATCTAGCTTAGCGCCCGAAGCTATCGACATTTCACAGTTATTGCCCAAGGACTATAAACCAACTAATGCACAAGATAAAGAGACAATTGACGTGTTGAAAAAAGTTGAGTTCAAAGAAGTCGATTCATTACTACCACCCGGTTTTAAACCTATTTCTAACACTACTAGTAAAACAAATGCAGCCCATCCAGCTTCGACAAGTACCACAACTACCGAAAAGTCGGTGGCAGATGATACAAGTAATACCAATTCTTCAGGTAGTGGTTATAAAGTCGTTTTTCCAAAGGGCATTCATAAGAGAAAGGGAGCACAACGTTTGACTACACCACCTACACAAGATAGCAATGAAGCTACCTCACCTGCTGTTGTTATTAAGAAGGGTCCACCAACGCGTGCAACCACAGAGTTTACTGGTTGGCCAACACCATCTACGACACCAATTTCAATTGAAAAATTGCTTGAACAGGCGAAGACCGCTAGCATAAATTTCGAGGATCTGCTATCATCAAGTACAACAACAACCACTACAACGACTACAACTACAACAACAACTACCACACCAAGACCAACGAAACCAGGACACTGCACAAACGATTGTGATCTGGCGGCTACTATAAAAATAGTAGATGGTGTAGCATGGAAACCAGAATTATTAGATCATAATACTGTAGAATGGAAAACTCTAGCCAGAGAAGTTGAAGCACAGGTAAGAAAATTAAAATTATTTTTATTAAATAATAAAATGTTAATAATTTTTATAAAATTTTGTAGTTAAATGAAGTTTATGTGAGTGCACCTCAATTGAACAATTGGTATAAGAAAGTACGCATCGATAGTTTTAGTAAGGGAAGCGTACTAGTGGACTACTATGTTGAACTGGCCAATATTACCAATGATGTAAATACATTGGAAATTAAGAAACTATTCCATGATGCTTTGCAACATCCCACACAAGAAACAATACCACAAAAACCCTCAACTGAAAATGAAACAGATGAAAGCGCGGAAGAGAAAGAAATCAAGGAAGAAAAATTGATTAAAGAAACTTATCAAATGGGTAAATATGCTATCGATCCTATGGCTACAGTTTTTATTGGTAAGTAAATGGTATATCATGTGTGATAGGATTCTCAAAAAGTCAATTTTATTGTTCCATTTTTTCAGTTATACCTAAAGCACTTTCGCCTACTGTTGAATATGCTGAGGAAGATCTGTTAATCCCACAATGGGCAATAGTAGTGATTGTAATTGGCGTAGGCTCACTAGTATTTGTTGTTATCTTTGGTGTGACTGTGGTAAGTGTTCAATTCATTAATGAAAGTGTTTAATTATTACATAGACCATAACATATAGTATATTAAAGCAATTTTGTGATATTTTAAATTATGTATATAAAGTGAAATAGAAATCTAAATCCTGATATTGAGTTTCTTTTGACTTAATATATATAAAAAAAAAGAGTCATTCTTTTTAAGAGTCATTTAATATAGTTTTTATGAAACATAAATTTCATTATAATAATAGTGATTAGATCGTCCGAAATTAATGCTACTTAAATATTTTTAGGTAAGTATAAGAAAACTGTAAGAAAACGCGAGAATTATTACATATTATATCCTATTATTTATTCAGACATCAAGGATTACTAAGCCTAAACTGGTTCAAAACTGAAACACGCCAATTCTGAACTAAATAACTATAATAAATTACTAATCGTTATAATTTGAATAATCACGAAGATTATCAGGAAAACTCAAATTAGTCACTGAGATGGGCGGAACTCTTCCGAATCCCCCCAGCTATCATAGAGTAAAAGTGCCCAGATGCTCTAACTTGGAAAAGGCTTAACCTAATTTTAATTTCTGAGTACAAGTAATTCTACTATAACAAAACAGATAGTAAACCTATAAAAAACATTTATTCCAGATTTAAAAACATCGCATACAATATGGATTTTTGAGTCATGACCCGATAATAAAGGTCCAAAACAGACTAAACCGTTCAATCGGGTCAACAATAATATTACTACATATCTTAGCGTAGATTAACAGCAATGAAATTAAAAAAGCAATATATGTAACTTTCAGCCGTCCCATTTTGAAAATAGGATTTGAGAATACCCAGTCTTTATAATAAACAGAGTGATATACACCCATCTATATACAGCACATGTTCTACGATTTACAAGAAACTACCCTCTTGAAATGACAATTCCCTAATGTATCTCTTTCACTTGTTCGAGCAAAAGAAGTCTAAATCTTTAACTAAAGTAGCGAGAATTAGACTATCAGATTTTATAATAAATGAGGCGATATACATTCATTCATGGTTGTGAGTAAACTACACATAATAATTAATCCTCCAACATAGGTATATCTTTCACTCTTTTAAGTACAAGAAGTCTGGAACTTTTAATCAAAATAAACAGTATAATTAATCTCTAACCTCTTTAGCTTTCGTGGAAGTTACAAATGATACATACTTATTACAAATTGGGATGCATACAGATATAGATATAAACATAGGCAAAACATAGACATAAATGGGGATGCATTGTTATGCTCTTAATAATGAAGTTAATGATAATAATAAGGTCTTTAAAAATATCAACCCATTAAAGTTTTTATTAGTATTATATATCATTTACTAAATTTTCTATTTAAAATTATATATTTCTCCATTTTAGTTGTTGAATCGACAAAAACGAGCTAAGAAAACACCAATACCTTTAACGAACGATATGCTCAATGAATTAAAAATCAATCATATGGGTGGTGCTGACAATTATGGAGTTGATGACTTTTACAATATCGATGATGCTTGGAATGACACTAAGCAACCAATAAAACCAAAGGTAAATATTAACTAAGATATAAATTATATTAAAAACTAACTATATCTTTATCTTTTCTATATTAAAGCGCTTTACGAATTCGATGCACGATAGTAGTGGTTCGAATATTTATGATAGTTGGCGTTCAACACGTCATGGAGATTATTACTATGATAGTCAAACAAACTATTCACAAAAAGGTGATTCACTGCAACGTTCACTGCACCACCAGAGTCATCATCAACCCAAACAATCCCAACAAACTGCACACCACCACCAGTCATACCCACACCAGCAATCATACGCTCATCAATATCCTGATGCATTTGCGGATGCCCATCAAATGTATACCTATAATAATCACTCGAGTAGAGGGCGCTATCCCAGAGATTATGATCCAGACTTTTAGATTCTAGTAAACTAGTAGTGCTCTCTGGTATAACTCCTTACACTTTTATAACTACTCTTTTATTTATGTATTGTAATTAAAACAAAATAGCAATTTTTAAAATAATTTCTTTTATACTAAAATAATGAAATTTAATTTAATGTCTAATGAATATAAAATTATAATATAAGTGACGAAGATTTAAAAAAAAATTGCATTTAGCAATTTATTGTAAATTTTGTTTTTTAACAAATTAATTTTAATTTTTTAATTTGTTTTTTTTTTTATATTTATTATAAATATTTGGTTTGTATTTATTGTCTTCCGTTTAGATTAGATTGTAATTGGTTTTTTTTTATTCGGTTTATTAAAGTGCCTTGAAAATTGTTTAATTAAATTAATTAAAAAACTGATAATGGATTGAGAAAAATTTCTAAATTTTTTAAATTGATTTAAAATTAATTTTATTTATTAAGTAACTAAATGGAATACTTATATTTCAATATAAATGAAATATGAGAATGTATTAGTCAATCTTAATTTTAATTATAAGCAAAAAAAACTAAAAATCTAATGTTAGTCTAAGTAAACATTATTGTAAAAAATAATATATAATATAAATATAATTTTATAAAGGAATTAATTATTTTTATTTTTATATAGTTGAGATAAATTTATTTTTTTTTATATTTATTTTATTTATATATGTATTATTCTAACCTGGTATTCAATATACTAGCAATTGCAAGCATTTTTATTACTGCGTCTATGCAAGTACGTAACCATGGGGTTGGGATTAAGAGCCTAAACCCTACCTTAAATATATCCAAGTACTATATTTATGCGTTTGTGTATATATTAATTAAGCAATCGGACTTCAATGATTTTTTTAAATTATTGAAAGCATCTGAAAGCCCTTCGCCAGAAGTACATTTCTGGATATCGGCCTTCTGCTGACTGTTTAAACAATATGATACTCGAATTAAAAAGTTTGGACCGAGTGCTAGAACATCTTCAAACTGCTAAAATGGCATAGTTACTGACTATATAATTCCAGCTCCATTGATTGAGATGAGAGCTTACTAATAAGCCGAAACAAGTAGACAGCAGTAATTATTTCTATATCGTTTATAATGTAACATGCATCTTACATCTCTTTACGATCTCTTTCAGGTTAGTATATTTTTAGTATTTACTGATTTTTTGTGCTGCTCTTGTCAGCTGTTAAGCACATCCTGACTACGGGTGTAGTAATTATCCTCCTGTCTAAATCAAAAACGGACAGTCATGGAGAATGTAACTGATTTGCCAAGCAGAGTCAAGATTCTGTTTCTTTAGATACAACCATAAGTTGGTTCTGCAAGCCATGATGACCCTTTAATTAAACTGTTAAAATCTCAACACTGTTTAACTAAAGAGGAACACCTATAGGTGCTATAGGTGTATATACAAACAGCTGTTTAGTCTGTCGGTTAATTGGAGTGTTGAACCAGTACAGTCCTTTTGGTTACAAAACACTTTTCTATATACAATTGTTAATATTTCCGTTAATTATTGATTTAAAGCTTGTCTTTTTTGCTTCTTTGCTATTCAGCGGATTGTGGTTCTTTCATTATAATTACTTGGTAATAATACTTCTGTTGTAATTCTATATTTAAAATTATATTATTAAGTTATATTTACAGGCAAAAAATATTGTTTGGTTTTATATATACAGGCGCCAATATGAATTATATTCTTATCACATATTATCTTATATTGTCTTGGAATGATATCTGAAAACACAAATTCTAAACATCATTTATTAGAGTATTTAAGTAATAAATGAAAATCACTAGATTTGATTTGATTTTCTAAATTTAACTCATAATAATAATGAAGTAAATATTCCTCTACAGTCTTCCATTTTTTCATTTTTTGCTATATTCATTAAATAATCAAAAGCCAGGGTTCCAGAAACACCACCAAATAAGCGAAAAAATAAAAAGGTGCTAGCTTTGCAAAAAAAAAAGAAAAAATATGTTTATATCAATAAAATTTAATAAAAAGATTTGTTTGCCGAAACCCGGGATTGAACCGGGGACCTTTAGATCTTCAGTCTAACGCTCTCCCAACTGAGCTATTTCGGCACATATATTTATTTGTTCAAAATAAAACCAAATTAAATATTATTATATTTTCTTGTAAATATTTTGATACAATTTTAAATGAAATATATTAAATTTATATTTAAATTATTAAAATATATATATGTACATATAACATTTTATATATATATAAATTTATATTAAAATTTGTTGACTTTATAAAAATCAATATTTTTTTGGTTTTTTTATTAGAAGTTTCTACTGCAAAGATAATGATATATATAATTTTTTAACTTATGTGTGCTAAAGGAACTCATAGATTGATATAGGAAATCATATTGCAATCGCATCTGCTTATACTTTAAAGATATATGGACGAAAGCATTTGAGTCGGTTTGACACCACATCAAGTTTAACGAAAACAAATTGTCAGCATTATTAATATTACCCAGAATTATCTATTTTTGAATATATTTAGAAGTTTATTTTTTAACAATCCAATGGAAATAATATAATATTATTATGTTATTTGTACCTAAAGGATGCTATATTAGTGCACTCTTTGACTTAATAATTATGGATTACATATATACATATACAAAGGTCATCAAATATGAATGATGACCTTGTATTAAAGAAATTTCAGTATAATTTTATAAGAAATTTCTTTATAATTCAAATAAAATAACATATGATATATATAAATATATTTTATTTATTATTAAATTAAATATTATTAAATATATTAATAAATTCATTGGTCAATAAAAATACTTTTCGCCAATCTGGACTACACATCCCATATGGTCTAGTGGCTAGGATATCTGGCTTTCACCCAGAAGGCCCGGGTTCGATTCCCGGTATGGGAAATTTTTTTTTATTTATCAATTATATTCATGTTTTTTTCTTCTATTTTAAAATTATTTAATTTCAACATTATAGACACTTTTTTTCGTTAACTTAGGAACTTAACTATCGGCTTGATGAACAATATTTTCTTCCAATTATAATAGTCTTTCTTAAATTGATAGTAATTTAAAATCTCAGATAAAAATATATTAAAATCACAAAGGTTAAGTTTTAAAGGGTATGCATGATGATATCATTAATGAAACGTAATCTATAATACATAAACCCTTGCTTGCATTATAACTCCTAGAATACTTACTCGCTAGTTATAGTGGAAAATAAGACAAGAAAGACTACAACACTTTACCATATGTAAAAATATTTCAATATATTTTTCAACCATGGTAGCCTTTGACACTTTCGAATGTAGAACTATAGGAAGTTTCCAACAAGAAGTACATTAATACTGAAGTACGAAAACGTATGGTTGGATGAGTTGTACACTACATGAGACCTTATTTGACATTTCTTATTTACCGGTGACGTGGAATACGTAGAATGCAAGAAGTCGTGAAAAACTTCAAACAACCATACGTTACAAGACATTGTGTAAGATTTCAATACACCTCAGAAAGACTTAATAAAACCTGATAAATAAGTCCTTACTGTAACTGGGATCTCAATTAATAAATTGTAAATAATAGTATGCAATAGATTAAACTGTTAATTTTGTGTAAAATTTTTGACCTTTTAAACAATGGAGTATGTATATAATAATAATTCTATTATTGTTAAGCCATTTGTTCTTATAGTTTGAGATAGAGAGATCCGATAAGTCTACTCTCATTTTTTCTATATTCTATTAAATTCCATATAAATAATTTTTAAAATTCATAAGTGCCCAGTTAATATTATAATATTTATATAATATAAATAATAATAGCTATAATAATATTTATAATAATATATATAATATAATATATCGGCCTTCCCTGTGGTAGCTCTTGCTGTGCGTGTCTACCAGCTCTTGAAGATAAGACACCAGAACACCTGTGTTTTTGTGCAGGTCTGGCCAGAACTAGGTTTAAGCTTCTGGGGGCCCCCTTCTTCAACTCACTTAACGATAACTCCAGCATTAGCATTAGCCAGATTCTTACCTTTGTTAATGCCTCTGGCTAGTTCTAGGTTGACTCTCTATCTACTACCCACTATTACGAGGTTTTTTGTGGATTCAAAACGGCTTTCTCTTTTAGCTAATTGGGGAGGACTCGTCCTCCCTCCACCACAACTAACTAACATAATATATAATAATATATATAATACATAATAATATATATAATTAATAATAATATATAATAATATATATAATATATAATAATATATATTAATATATATGAATATATAATATATATAATATAATATATATAATATTATAATATATATAATATATATATAATATATAATATATATAATATATATAATATATATAATATATATAATATATATAATATATATAATATATATAATATATATAATATATATAATATATATAATATATATAATATATATACTATATATTAATATAATAATAGCTGAATTTGCCAACTGATAAATAAATGACCTATTCCACAAAAATGAATATTAAAAATAATATTTACAGTTTTTTTGGAGCATTAAAATTTTATTTAATATCAATAATTTATGTTTATTATATTATTCAGTTTTATAAATATTACTACAAAACTAAATGCGGAAGTTAATAGATTTTACTTCACATACAATTATAAAAGATAGTATTTTGCTTTTTTTTTAAATTATAAAAAAAAATTCATATAAAAAATTGTGCTGAACCTATGTACTACAAACTGTCATATGTACGTATGTAAGTAGTAAATGCACTTAACTATGCGCATGTATATATATATAATATATCAGTATAAAAACTACTGTAAGACATATGTATGTTTGCATACATGTTAATTAAATATTATTACACATATAAAAATTTTGTATATAAATAGTGTTGTTTGTATATAAAAATTAATATAAGAAGTCACACATTGCCTAAAATGTAATGTTAAGTGTGGCTTAGTTTAGTTAACCTTTCGTTCTATTTGTTCGAAAGTAAGTCTTACATTTTTCAGTTTCGTTTTAAATGATATAAAATGAAACAAATTA